AGAGAAAAAAATTATCTTGCTGAAAGGTGCATAGCTAAGAACGCTGGGCTCTTGAGCCCCAAACTGCCAGACTGTGTCCCTTTACTTTGCATAGCTGAAATAAATTGGTTTTTGTACTGTTTGACATGTTGAGTTTACTGGAAAGTATTTGAGTTTATGAAAAGAGAGGGGAAAGAGGTTGGAGGAGAGAAGACAGAGGAGAGAAGAGAAAGGAAAAAGGAAAAAAATGAATAGATATCAGGAACATGGTCACATGATGATGCAAAGCACCATTAAGGAGAAAAGGGGTGTCACCCTCCAAAGGTGGTGACACCTAAATAAGTACAGCTTCTCCAATCCTTTCTCATTTATTCATAATCCACCCCCAACATCCTCTCCTCCCCCACACCGAAAGAACATGTGGAAGGAAAGGTGAGCCCTGGACATAGCAGTGTCCACCAAGGAAGCACAGAGGCAACATAATTCACACAAAGACAGCGTTTTGTTTTATAGCTCAGGTGCCAAATCGTTCTTAACAGCCACTGAATGAATCATTGGGTGTCTTTCACCTTTCCCTGGATGCAAAATTAATTTTTCTAAATCCTTAATCATCCTTCCTGGCAATACTCCGAAAGAGAGCCATCCCCAGCAGTACTCAGTCTAATCAACTACCTTGGGTTTTACCTACTTAGGCATTCAAGTTACTCCTTTGGTAACAGATAATTTGCCTGCCAATGTTTAATTCTTCACATCCAAAGTTAAAACTGATCTGGACCATTAATCCATAATACTTTGATACCAGGGAGACTATAATTCTATTCAAAAAAAATTTTAATGTATCTCTTTTCATAAAAACATAGGGACTCGGCATCAGGGAAATCCAAATCAAAACCTCAATGAGATACCACCTCACACCAGTCAAAATGGCTAAAATTAACAAGTCAGAAAATGACAGATGTTGGCAGGGATGCAGAGAAAGGGGAACCCTCCTACACTGTTGGTGGGATTGCAAGCTGGTGCAGCCACTTGGAAAACAGTATGGAAGTTCCTCAAAAAGTTGAAAATAGAGCTACCCTACGACCCAGCAATTGCACTACTAGGTATTTACCCCAAAGATACAAATGTAGGGATCCGAAGGGGTACGTGCACCTCAATGTTTATAGCAGCAATGTCCACAATAGCCAAACTGTGGAAAGAGCCAAGATGTCCATCGACAGATGAATGAATAAAGAAGATGTGGTATATATATACAATGGAATATTATGCAGCCATCAAAAGGAATGAGATCTTGCCATTTGCAACGACTTGGATGGAACTGGAGGGTATTATGCTGAGCGAAATAAGTCAATCAGAGAAAGACATGTATCATATGACCTCACTAATATGAGGAATTCTTAGTCTCAGGAAACAAACTGAGGGTTGCTGGAGTGGTGGGGGGTGGGAGGGATGGGGTGGCTGGGTGATAGACATTGGGGAGGGTATGTGCTATGGTGAGCACTGTGAATTGTGTAAGACTGATGAATCACAGACCTGTACCTCTGAAACAAATAATACATGATATGTTAAAAAAAAGAAGAAGAAGAAAGAAGGAGAAAGGAGAAAGGAGAAAGAAAGAAAGGAAAGGAGAAAGGAGAAAGGAGGAGAAAGGAGAAGAAAGGAGAAAGGAGAAGAAAGGAGAAAGGAGAAAGGAGAAAGGAGAAGAAGAAAGAAGAAGGAGAAGGAGAAGGAGAAGGAGAAGGAGAAGGAGAAGGAGAAGGAGAAGGAGAAGGAGAAGGAGAAGGAGAAGAAGAAGAAGAAGAAGAAGAAGAAGAAGAAGAAGAAGAAGAAGAAGAAGAAGAAGAAGAAGAAGAAGAAGAAGAAGAAAGCAGGAGGGGAAGAATGAAGGGGGGAAGTCGGAGGGTGAGATGAACCATGGGAGACTATGGACTCTGAGAAACAAATTGAGGGTTCTAGAGGGGGGGGGATGGGTTAGCCTGGTGATAGGTATTAAAGAGGGCACATCCTGCATGGAGCACTGGGTGTTATATGCAAACAATGAATCATGGAACACTACATCAAAAACTAATGATGTGGGCGCCTGGGTGGCTCAGTTGGTTGGGCGACTGCCTTCAGCTCAGGTCGTGATCCTGGAGTCCCAGGATCGAGTCCCGCATCGGGTTCCCTGCTCAGCGGGGGCCTCTGACCCTCTTCCCTCTCGTGCTCTCTGTCTCTCATTCTCTCTCTCTCAAATAAATAAATAAAATCTTTAAAAAAAAAAAACTAATGATGTAATGTATGGTGATTAACATAACATAATAATAAAAAAAAATAGGGACTCTTCTTTTATTTTCCCCCAACCCTCATTTTAAAAAAAGAAAGAAAAATTCAGATGAAAAATGTTTACCTCATATTCTTTTGAGACGAAAACACCTTCAACCATTCTATCTTAATGCTGAGCAAAATAGATGGACACCCAGACAGACTTTGACTGTGGACTAACTGCTCATTGTAAAATGGAACCCACAGAGGCATGGGACCCTCATTACATGCAGCAATGGTCACCTGAAATCCAGGTCTTTCCTTGGATTCCCAATTCTGTGCTATCATGCACACACATCCAATTAATTCCCAAATCCTGCTAATTTTATCTCCTAAATACTTCTCCAAACTACTAACTACCTTTGCCTTCATTAAAGATTCTATTTTCCATCCCACCCCGAGCTATAACAGGTACTTCCTAAGTGGCCCCTTTATCCAATCTCCTTCCACTCAATACCATGTCAACCAAATGACCTTTTTCAAGCTCAAATATAATTATGGGGCTTCCTTGCCTAAAACTCCTTAATGTTCCCCACTGCCTATAAGGTAAGTCCAAACTCGTAAACAAAGCCCACATGGTCCTCCAAGACCTGCTTGTGCCCAGCTCTGCATCCTCATGTCCTTCCCAAAGCCTGCATCATGTCACATTCTAATTCCCTGAACACTTTATGTACTTTCACACCTCACGCCTTTGTTCATGTTGGCTTTTTGTCTGGAATGCCTTCTCCCCCTTCCTCTGTCTTTGCCTACCTCCTTTCATTCTTTAAGACCCAGTTCAGGCCTCACCACATCCCCAAACACTACCCTCCCTCCAGTACCAGCCCCTGAGGAGCACTTCCTCACACTCCTGCAACCTGCGTGCATTCCTCTGCCCTTGCATTTCAGACTGTAATCTTGATTCATCTAGAAAAGTCTATTTCCTCTACTTAAGGGCAGAAATTATGACTCCATCTCCGTTATCTGCCTGTGACCCAAAAGTGCCTGTGTAAGTTTTTGTTGAATAAATGTAGAAACAGTTGCTAAACAGCATCTTTCCTATAAGCTCTGAGGTTCTTTGCTGTTGCTGCCCTAGCATGATACCACTGCCCATTACATGGTTCGTATTTAAAATGAAAAGTACATAAAATAGAATAGACATGATCCCACAACTGAGACTTTCTCCCTGAACATAATGTTGAAGTTAAAATAGAGTGGTTTATACTGAGCGTGATCTCTGTTTCTAGTAAGGGAGACAAGAACAGAATCACCATGAAATCACATAAATTCAGGGCAGGGAAGTCACTTTGTCCAAATCCCAGCTACCAGAAGAAGAATGAAGCCATCTTAACCTGCCCCAGGAGGCCTCTCTTCCCTTGTCACCTTGTCAGAGAGGCAGATGGAGGTACAGCTCAGCTCCTTACACGAGGCACTTGTTCCTGTATGACCCACTTCCATGGCAGAGCAGGTAGCAAAGGTATGAAAGCCAGGAGGCTCACTTCAGCAGCAAAAGCAGCATAAGTCCAGGTCTCTACCAGCAACTAAGCAGATGAATTATTCTTGACATTGACTCCATAAGCGCACCTACTTTACCTGTCTGTTCATTCAGGTACTGCCCAGCACTAGCTTTGTGGATAAGGTGAGACAATCAGGACGTGACTGAAGGGGAGAGGAGGGAAAGCACAGCAAGGCTTTAGGAAGTGCAAATGAAGTGGGTCATTTAGGGGGAAAAAGTTGAAAGAAAGGACAATTCCTTGTATGAGTTTGCAGCCAATATAATGCAGAGGAGGAAGACAGCCTTTGGCCTAAAGAGAGGGGGGTGTCCTCCTGGCCAGAAAGACTGAACCCAACTTTAGGACCTCTCTGTCCCTCTAGCGTGGCCTGATCTTTGCGTTTTGCACTCCCATGGGCTTCCATATTGTAGGTGTGATGGTTCTAACTCCAAGGGAGCAGGGAAGGCAACGCAAACAAGTTTGAGGGCTTTTTAAATATCCTTATTAGTTATTACAAAAGTGTATGTTTATGGTAGAAAAATGTTTATTACAAATAAGTGGAAAAAAATTTATATTGTCCATAATCACACAGCTCGGCAATTAATACATATGGAAGATGAAAGTAGAATTAGAGTACTTAGGAAATTTGCTTTTCAAAGTTAACAAGTTGTGAAGGTGTTTCCAGTGTTGTTCAGTGTTCTATTATAATGTTATTTTTAGTAGCTAAATAACATTTCATTGTACAGATGGACCATGATTTAGTTAACCAATTACATATTGATGGGCATTTAGATTACTCCCAATTTTTCCTATTATTAGCACTTCTGTGATGAGCATTTTTATCAATAAAACTTTGACAAGCGATAATAATTGCTTTAGAAGGAGCTACTGTATATAGAAGTACTAGGTCAAAAGATAGGAACATGCTGAAACTTTTTATATGTGAAGCCAAATTACCCTGCAGAAAGGTGGTACTAATTTATACTCCCACCAGCAGGAGATAAAAGTGCCCATTTCCCAATTCCCTGTAGAAAGTTTTGGAAAGCAAAGTAACTGAAAATACTCTACAAAGCTCCTATTTAGAAACCAGTCTATTGATCACAGACAGGTTATTCATCCACTTGGATTTGATTCCACAATTACATAGAGAGCCTTTCCTGTGCTATGAGTATAGATAGGACCAATAGGTTTAATTAGTCTAATAATGCTCTAATCAATTTGGCCAAAATAGTCACACTGGTCAATATAGAAACACCCTTAAAAATTATTTTCAAAGTATTTTGTGCTCAAAATTTCTATTCTGAAATCTACCCTTCCATAGTTTCTGATGCTCATGCAGCCTCCACCTGACACAGAGTGCACCACTGGACCAACCCATGCCCAAGGTCAGAGCCTTTCGTTACAGAAAAGATCACATTGAACCCAAAATTTCTCTATAAATTCCACATATTAGTCATTATTATTACCTAGGGAAGAGTCCATTTTCTCTTCAAATGTTCTCCAGGCAAACAGCCCTAAAACCTCCCACATTTCCTTATATTACATTATTTCCAAGATTCGGTTTCGGTCATCTGGAACGCCTACAGTTATTTTCCTTCTCTTCCCTCCATCCTGGTGGTTCCTACACCAAGGGGACCTTGTTCTAAGTTCTGCACATGAGTCACTGTCCATGATCCTTCACCCACCCTACAACCTCTTCAGAATTAATGATTCCCCTTTCTGCATTCCCATAGCATTTTAGACAGATCTTTACTATCAGGCTTAATGACTTAATGTTTTAATTATTTGTTTGTGTGACTGTCTTCATGCCTCACCTAGGACCTCTTTGAGGATAAAGACCATGTCCAAAGCACCTAAAACACATCCAAAGTACCTGTTTAACATGGTAGTTTCTAAAGAATGCCTACCTACATTAAATAAAATAGTCAAAGTTCACCAACTGTCAGGATAACTGAGACATGAATATAAATAACTATAGTAGAAAATAGAAGACACAGAAGGCAGCAAATATCAGAGGATGATTAGAAGTAGGTTCTGCGGAAAAGAAAAGATAAGGCAGAAAGGAAATGGCCTCAAAAACCAAGCTGAGGTCATTGGCTTCTCACCATAGACAAATGTGGACACATTTTCAACAGAGGATGCAGGAGAGCTCAGAGGGAGAAGCAAAGAAATAGTCCATGAGCAAGCTAATATGGAGTCTAAACCAAGATCAATAAGAATAAGATGAAAAGGACAGATGAGAGAAGCATGGAGAGAGAAGCCTTACATTTGGCCATGAATGAAATGACAAGAAAACTAATGATGGGGGGAAGAAAGGAAGGAGAGAAATTCCTCCAAGATGTCCAGCCTGAGTAATTAGGATACCATTGTTACCCAAAGTTTGCAAACGTATAACTCCCATGAAAAGGACACTTACAGATATGGATTTTACGGTTCCTACTCAAAGTGAACTTTTCCATTTGAAGGCCTATATCAGTGGTTATGTTACCTTCAGCACATCACAATTGCCGCCACTCTCCTTTGTCTCAGACTCAGGGAATTTCACTCACTTCCACTTTGTACTTGGCACCCGCAGGCATTTAAGTTTGTGATTTCCTAGTAACAATAACGGAAATTTTAAAAAGTCAAGAGTAAAAGGAATGAGTTCAGGACAAATTTGGGTAACTCAGTGGATTCCAAACATTTTTTCAACATTGTCACCCTTGAGAAAAATGAAATCTTGCTTGGAAGTCTCACATATCAAACAGAAGAACAAAGGTGCTCCAGGTAGTTGAACTGGAAAACTGGGCCTCACTCTCACAACCACTAGCCCTACCTCCAGTTAGCACCTAAGGCATTTCCATGAACCTGAGGGATCTGTAAACCACAATTCAAAAACCTATGATGGAAGTGTTGAATCATTATATTGTACAGTTGAAACAAATATAACACTGGCTGTTAAGTACACTGGAATTAAAATTTTTAGAAAATTAAAATAATTTTTTAAAAGCTGTAAATGATAAATTGCGATTTAGACATGTTGTTTTTGAGGTATCAAAAGATCCAAAGGTGAAAACAACAAGAAAGTGCACAGAGAAAACAGGAGATTGGAAGAGAATTAAGATCTGGATGAAGATTTGGGAGCCATTGGTGAGAAGGTGATATTTGCAGCCATGGTAATGGACCACGTGAGTGAGAATACGAGTGGGCAGGAAGACGGAAGAACACAGACTTTGGGAAATGCCTACATTTTTAAGGTGGGCAAAGAAGGAAACTTCAGCCTCGCCGGTGGATGAATAATCTGAGAAGTAGCAGGAGAATCCAAGTACTATAAAATGTTAGAAGTCAAGCAAGTCATTGCAGGAAGAGAAGGATGACGCAGAGTGTCACATACACCAGGAAGAAAGATGAGATTGAGGGAAGGGAATTGGCTGGAGCATCGTGAGACAACTAAGAACATGGCCTCCCAAGGAGCAACTTCAAAATCATAGTGCAGACAAGAGGCAGAATGCAAATGGGACAAGGAGTGAACAGGCAGAGTGTCTACTCGTTTGAAAAGTTTGGAGGTCAAAGAAAAGGTGTCATGACAAAAAGTCCCCTAGCTAGAAATATGGAGAGGCTGCTAAGAAATGTTGTGTTACAAGAAAGTAAAAAACATTTTTATGGCAAGCAGCTCAACCCAGCAGAAAAGTAAAAACATACACCAGCTGTCTATGTGTGATCCCCAAATTATTATAGGGATAGTTAGGACTGAAGTGCTAGTGATGTATCTACGAGCCTTGAGAGTCTGTGGTTATGTATCAGGTCAGACCTTAAAGCAGTTTTAACCTCTCTCCAATAGAAATTATACATCAATAAGAACAAGTGAGCTTGTTTTGTTCATGGGGAGAGAGAGGAAAAGGAAGCACGCCAAGGTGTGAAAGTGAGTGAACCTTCTACAGGCTCAGAGACATTCTTCCAGTACAGGCCAATACCTGCTAGGATAATTTAGCCCTGCTCCAAGTTGTGAAGTCATGGTCCTGGTTTCAATCCTGATGTAACAATACCCATTTCTTTATTTGAGCTGTGAATACATCATATTCAGGGCCAGTGATCTTATAAATGTTCATTGCTGAACATAAATAAAGTCAGGAGAGAGAGAGAATGTGTCTGAACAAACTAGCCTACCATGGAAAATAATTCAAAATGATGGTGCAGTGATAGTAGGTCAGAAGAGACAGTTTCCTTTGTGAAATTTCTTACTGAAGCCAAACCCAGAGTGAGAGGAGTTGGAATATACCATGTGGATTTCAGAATCTTGGAACTGTAATCATAGAAATATAATGCCAACAATTTGATGATGAGAATGACAACAATTATATATGGATCCCCTACTATGCTTCAGGCACTTAATATACCTTGTCTCATTTAATCCATACAGAAATCACATAAAGCAAGCATTTCAAAACAGGGATTCACAGAGGTTAAATAACTGCAAGGTCATTTTGTTGATAAGGGACAGAGCAGGATTGCAAATCCAATCTCTCTTATTTCCATGTCGGTTGTTCCCCACTAGTCTACACCGCCTGCTAGTAGTGTTAGACGGAATCCTCCACTCCCCATGTGCAGGTTTACTGAGGTCATTCTTTGAAGGTCAGCCTTCCACCAATAGACCCAAGTATTATTTGCCAGCTCTCTGCCCCTTCAGGACTGTCTGCATCACTGGACCAGACCACACTTTATGTGTCCCAGAAAGGCAGAGTATTAAATAAAGATACAAAACAATTTCATTCTTGGAGCATGCCAGATAAGAATGGAAATGCGGTTGGTAATCCCTGACACCCTGGAGAAGTTCCAGATCGGCAGAGTGAGCTTACCCAAATGATGACACTTGAAAGCCAAGACTATTCTTGTAAGAATTACATGCATATGGAGCTTTTCCTTTTTTTTTTTTTAAGATTTTATTTATTTATTTGAGAGAGAAAACAAGAGTACAAGTTGGGGGGAGGGGCACAAGGAGAGGGAGAAGCAGATTCCCTGATGAGCAGGGAGCCCAACGTGGGGCTCGATCCCAGGACCCTGGGACCATGACCTGAGCCAAAGGCAGATGCTTAATGGACTAAGCCACCCAGGTGCCCCTGTATGGAGATTTTCCAAATGAGAAAGAGCTGATCTCTGTTTCTTCATATAAACTATTTTTCTCTACCAAAGTCTTGGGAGAGAGGGAAGGGAAGGGTTCCACTCCACCCTGTGCTGGCAAGTGTCAGGACATGCTGAGGAGACCTTCGTTCATGACAGTATGGGGCAGAGATGATTAATATGGACAGCACGGGTAGGTGGATAAGATTTCACTCTTGCTGCCAAGGTTTACTGATTGGTTTGTCCCATGCTGGGCTGGTACAGATCCCAAGATTTTATCATTTCAATTTGAAAATCTGCACAAATCACACTAAAGGTTGCTGCCCAGATATATTTGGTTCCTCTTACCAAAATGGGCCCCACACAACACAATAGGTAATTAAGAGAAAAGAAGAACACCACATCCTTCTCATTCCTCAAGGAGATTCAGGACATCGAAGATTACCTGGTTCTTTCCTCTGTGCTTTAAAAGGAAAGATCACGGGGCCGCCAGGGTGGCTGAGTCAGTTAAGCGTCCCACTGGTGATTTCAGCTCAGGTCATGATCTCAGGGTCATGAGATCAAGCCCCATGTCATGCTCCATGTTCAGCAGAGAATCTGCTTGAGATTGTTTCCCTCTGCGCCTTTCCCCCCCACCCCCTGCCGCCTGTCTCTCAAATAAATAAATAAATATTTTAAAAGGAAAGATCATGGTTTGCTTGTCCTCATTATGTTGCAAAGTTGAGAGCATCCTGGCCGGAGTGGTGCTGTGAGGTGTAAACTGCTTGTCTTAACTGGACACAGTTAAGGAATGGACACAGTTCTCTGAGTCATAGAGAAGCTATAGGCTCCGTTGGTATCTGGCCAGGTGGGGGCACTGAGGGGAAATGGAGCAGGTGAGAAATGAACTGGGCCAGTGATATCATAATAGCTGTATTACATTTCCTCATCAGTAAATAAAGGATACTTTCCAGCACCAACCTTTCATGAGTCAGGAAACAGCCCACAGATAGACTGTGCCCTCTAGATACACCACTACCTCTTCAGAACAACCAGAAATTTTTACTACTTAACTAGAGCAAGATGCAGCTGTACTAAACTACTTTCTTATTGCTGCAGTAGACAAGCTTTCATGTCAAAAATAAATAAATATCCATAGATCCATGCTGATATAAATAAATGAATAAATAAATGGGCAGAAGAGACAAATCCCCTGGTGGAAAAATTTCAAATTATTTATGTAGATATTTCACCTTCAAAGAAACAGAGCTTAACTCCTCACCCCTTAAACATGGGCTGTACAGTGACTTCCTTCCAAAGAGTACAGTAAGGAAGGGGTAAAAAAAAAAAAAAAAAAAAGAATTACTTTACGGTGGAGAAACCTACCATAAACCACCTTAGTCAGGTGATAAAAGTCAATTTCCACAGCAATGATTTATATTGATAGGATCGATCCCTCATCCCCCATCCCCATCGTGATGAAATGGCACTTTCCTTTGGAGGATCTTCCTTCCAAAAACCCATAACAGACCCATAACAGACTAGTCTGAGAAAAACATCAAACAAATCCCAATAGGAGGACATCCTACAACATACCTGACCAGCATTCTTCAAAACTGTCAAGGTCATCAAAAGCAAGGAAAGTCACAGCCAAGAGGAGCCTACCGAGTCATGATAAGTGAAGGTGATATGGTATCTTGGATGGGATCCTAAAATAGAAAAAAAGGACATTAGGTAAAAACTAAGGAAACCTGAATAAAATATAGACACTAGTTCTTGCTAATGCATCAATATTTGCTCATTGATGGTAACAAATGTGCCAGACTCATGTAAAATGTTAATAATGGGGAAACTGGGTGACATGTATATGGGAACTCTTTCTACCATCTTCATAATTTTTCTTTAAATCTAAAACTGTCATAAAAAAGTAAAGCTTATTTTTAAAAAGGAATGAATAAATAAATAAATAAAAATAGTATCACCTTCTTTTTTTAAGGCAGAGAGTTGGAATGGAAAACAAGAATTGAGTATGTGCCCTGTTACTGGGTCTGCGCCAAACGGGCTGCCAAACCTTCTCAAGCCCTCATTTCCACATCTGTAAAAGACAAGTGTTGTGTAATGGTTAGGATGCCCAGCCTCTGGGGTCAGACAGTCCTGAGTTCGCAGTCCTGCTCGGCGTCTTACAAGCTCTATGACCTTGAGCCTTCGTTTCATCATCTGAGGATAATAACAACATGTAAGGATTTAATGAGATAGTGTGCATTTAGAGACATGGAAGTATAAAAGTGTGAGACATGATTCACTGGAGGAAGCTGGACCCTCGGCAAGAACAAAGCCCTGTGATCACTTGCATGAATGGACAAAGTGTATCAGCCATTGTCAACAGTGACTTGTTCTCAAAATCAAGCAACAGAAAATGCAGGGACTGTAGGACTAACCCTGCACTTTTATAGACAGGGCTTGGGAGAGTAGGACTCTTTCTTCAGTCTCCATTAGGCACCAGTCCTGATAGTCTCCCCTCCTTAGAAAGACTGAGAGCTAAGGAAATGAAGCTGGGCTGCTTGTCTGGACCTTTGGATGAAGAGGAACAGCCTGACAACATGGTCTTGGACGATTTATAAAGAAATCAGCTGACCATTTATTTCAGCTGCTTAATGGAGCACTTTTTTTTTTTTTTTTGGTCAGGGGATATTAAAATTTCTTTCCTTTCAAAAGAATGATTGCTGCACCTTCCTTTTTAGGACCGCTCACCTCGTGTTTAAAACCTGGCTTTGGAGGAGAATGAAACATTTTCCAGAGCAGGTAGGAGTTTGGAGCTTTGGCAGTAAGTTTCTTCATTTAGCTGCAGAACTCAAGTCAAAGAATGTACTCCAAGCAAGCCTTGGTCTCTGCACCCTTGTTCCCTGCAGCCAAATTTCCAGGAGTCCTAAGGCAGCGCTACCCTGATTTCCCCCTGCCAAAGATGCAAAATTCAGCCCAATGCTCACGCTGAATCCTTTGAGGGTTACATAATCCTTCATAAAATTCATCCTTTTCCTTTTCAGCATTTGAATTCACAGCCTTTGGTGATCTTTGTCTACAATCGCATTGGGGTCATGGAAAGACCTCAGCAATTATGACTTCTCAAGTACTGTATGGCAAGAGTCAGAGAATGTCTTTGGAGTAAGAGAAACTGGAATTAAAATCCTGGTTCTGCACCTGTTGGCTTGGTAAACTTTCAGGCAGCTTGTTTATCTTCTCTGAGCCTTACTTCCCTTGACAAGACTCAGATTGGATGGTGAATGCAAAACACTTAGCACAACACTTGGTACCTGCTCAACATTCCATAAACAATATGTTTATCATAATATGGGTTTCAAATGAAACAGAGATGGTTCCAGAAGCCTTTGGGAATTTGCCTGACATGGGAGGAAAAACAAGGTACAGAAATGGAGCCTAATAATTTGAAATTAGTTGGTTGAGAAAAAAATTAACTCTTACTGAGAGTGTGAATCATCCCATTTGGTTGATTGGGCTTGTTCCCAGTTTAGTCGCCATGGTTTTAATTTACAAAATGAGAAGTGAACTGCTTCTGAGAACTAAGAGAGCAACACAAGGGCAGTCTGATCAATCCCTACCACCGTCCACCACCCCCTCCCGTGACCCACACAGCCAACTAGCATCCATCCGTCTTCCCAGGAGCCTCTTGGACAGCTCTGTGCCTCTAGAAACAGGATCTATTCATATATATTGTCATAATGGAGGCCCCATGGGCCCAAAGAGGATCCCATCTGTTCCTGTCACAGGTGAAACCCTCCCAGCCAGAATCTTCAAAGCAAAGCCAGTTCTGTGTACTCTTTCAATGCCTTCTGGCTAGTTCAAGACCTGCATGAAGGCTGAAGAATTCAGGACTGATTGATAACAATTTTGATCCCCTTAGGCTCACTTGTTCCTTTTTTAAAAATGTCAGTCTGCTTAGCAGCTGCTTCTGTTCATAAATGCCAGTGGAACGGTGGCACCATATGTCTTCTGGTTATCTGGGTGTCTGATGAAAAATGTATTTAAAGGATTCATCAGATCTTAATAGAAAGGCTAGAGTGAGAATCAGCCTATTCCAAAACTGATGTTCTGGCTTCCTGGCTCGAGCTGTGTAGCCACAGGTCCTCCCAGCCTGTTCTCCCTCCCTCTTCAATTTGCTGCTGGTGCCTGCCATGGACATTTGCATGGAAATACATATCTAGTAGATACGTATTAAATTTAAGGGAACCATGAGTATAGGGAAGAGTTGCCTTGAGTTATATTAATATAAGTAGAGAGGTTTAAGAGAAATTAAGTTCTGGAAATGTTATTTGCTTATGATGAGTGACATATGCTTATTATATATTTATGATTTTTTTTGATGCACAGACTTGAATGCCTTGCTCCCAACTTATATATTGGAGATGACTGTTTTTATTTATCACTGCCGATGGGTGACCATAAACCCTACTTCTCCTACCAAAAGACTCTAATTGGCTATTTACAAATAAATAAACTACTTTATGAATTTAAAATTAATAGTTAATAACCTTAAGGGACTTACTGAAGAAAAAAATGCTTGACAGTCTCAGAACTTTAATCCTTGTCTTTGGCAACTCTTCTAGAATTGCAGTTAATTGGTCTCTTTCCTGGTGATTTCCCCACACACCGTAGAGCCTTAAGGGAAGAGACCGCCTCTACACTTCTCCCCAGCACAGAGCATGGTGTGTAGTGCTTGCATCCAGGAATACGGAACAGGGAAAAACCTGAGACAGGACCAAGGTTAACAGTTTCTGCAATGCTCAAGGCAAGTGATAAAGGACCATCCTACCAAGAGCAGTGGATGCTACAAGAATGACAAAACGGGGCCTGGTCAATTATCTCTCTCTGCATAAATATAGCATCCTGTCTTTCCTTGTGTGAAATCTCCACTATGTGCCACTTTCCAGGCTGGGCAGCAAACCCATAAAGAATATCTTTGCAAGCTCACTGTTAAAACATGGTATCTGGGGATATCTAGCCTTTTAGCATCTTTGCATTCTACGTTTTGCTCAGAACCAGCCACCGGACCCTCTCGGCATACAGGCAACACTGAGTAACCCAAGTCCTAAGCATATCCCTGTCCTTACACGTCACCTTAATGCAAGAGAAGGATGAGGCCAAGCCCACTTCCACCAGGTCCCAATAGCAGAGACCATCTCACCTCCTCTCCTTCCAGTTCCCACAGGCTGCCAGCCTGCCAGCCTCACTGTGGTGTTTTATAAATTCAGCTCTCACCACAGACATGCCGACTGGGGAAAGGGGGCTCACGCAGCAGAGATCTGGCCTGAGTTAATTGCCTCTCCAGTGCTTCTGAAAGTGTCACATCTCGTCTGATGTGTATTAACCCCGGCTGCACAGTCCCCTGGCGGGAGGAACGTGGCCCCGCTTCTCAGCCAACCTACCAGCTCTGAATCCCTGACAGTCAAGCTTCCTCGTGTCTGACTTGTCCCAGCTCCTGCAGGGAAATGCTCTGTATAATGCAACCATGAAGATGGTATCGATGCAAGTTCATGGGCTTCCTATAGCAGTTGTGTTTTCTCAAAGCAAGAGTAGGGGTCATAGGTTGGTTGCTTTGATTGCTTTTATTTTTAAATAACTTGTAGGCGAGTATGCAAAATATTCGAAATGGTGTACTATCAAGTTAAGCAATATCTAGCCTAGAGGCCAAGGCAGTTGAGGGTTAGCCAGAAAGGATTTCAGGGGGCCTAGCTGAAACTTCCTCTTACTTGCAAGATGGCAAGGAGGAGGAGACCAAGAGTGACAGTCACATTTGTTGACTCAGCTGTCCTGAATTAAAGATGATATTTATTAAGGATTTCAATACCCCACACTCAGGATGTTGTGAAAAGTTGCAAGAATGGTTTTCCTGAAACCAAAATTCTTAAGGGAAATTTCAGTTCTATGCATCACATTACAGCTGAGAATTCTTCATTTTTTTTTTTTTAACTTTCAGCTTCTATTTTTGTAATAGGCTCCTAGAAGCAGGAAAATACCATTCATTTCCTTTCCAGCTTCATCCTGTTCCGTTCAGCAGACCATGAATTCTTCCCCCCTAGAAGATGATCCTTGTGGAGTCAAGACGATGAGGCGGCTGTTTACCTCCAGGGTCCAAGGCTCTGAGGCCACTGCATAGTCCAGGATGGGTGGGCACCTCTCAGAAAGCGGGGCCGTGTTCGTGGTTACTTGATTCCTGAAGAGGGGAGAGGGTGCTGTTCTGACTGAATAGATTTTAGATACTCAGAAAGAGCTTTATCTGTGTAGACAACAAAGAAGCAATCCCACTTCTAACACCTAGGGACAAAAGAGTTCTCTTCAAAATCAGAGGCCGCTGAGGATGAACAGTAGCTGAGGAATAAAGGGGACCTCACATACATGTCTTAGACTGGCAGGGAAACCAGATTCCAACAATTAGATGGGGGTTAGCCTTAGGTAAGAGACCTACTTATGGCATTAGATCTCCTCCTCTCCCCCTTCCTCTTTCCCCACCCCTCAAATCTCTTCTATTTTCCAATCTCTTTCCCCAGTCCTCTCACCCTGCCCAATTTAAGCTAACTGGAAGATCACACAGATGGCAAAGAATGAGCTAAGACATTTAAAAACAAAAACAAAACCTTAAAATGGAGAAACACTAAATCTGTAGCTTTTGAAGGGTCCTGGGGCAGGCGCAAGGGTAAATCCATGAAGTGGGTAACTGTAAGCTTCAGAAAATCCCCCTCCCACCTTTTCCTGGTTGTTCCCTTCCTCCCCTGGCCAACCTATACACGGGGGTGCCACCAACCAACGAAGAAGGCCACATGGATGGTGGGGCTGCACAGATCAGCCTCCCTCAAGTAGATTCTTTCCCCAACAACCACTTCTGGGTTGTCCTTCTGGAAGCTTCTTCCCTGCATCCCAAGCTCCTCTACCCCTACATCCACCCGCCACCGCCCACTTCATTACCAGGCACAGTCTGGAACTCCCGGGGCTACAGCTGTAGTCCAAGGCTTGCTCTTCCTTCCTGGAGGCTGCTCTCCTTTGAGAGAATAATCTTTTTTTTTTTAAGATTTTATTTATTTATTTGAGAGAGAGAGAATGAGAGAGAGCACATGAGAGGGGATACGGTCAGAGGGCAAAGCAGACTCCCTGCTGAGCAGGGAGCCCGATGCGGGACTCGATCCAGGGACTCCAGGATCATGACCTGAGCCGAAGGCAGTCGCTTAACCAACTGAGCCACTCAGGCGCCCGAGAGAATCATCTTTTCATCAAGGCTTCAGTGTGGGACTCGCAATCCCATGAAGAAAAACCCTATTGACTGGGTGCCTAAAAACCACAGTCTCACTTGGGGACTGTTCTAGGAGCTCATCTTCAGCAGTTAATTCTTTTGGAAGTCTAAGCTACTTAAGGCTGACTCCACAGAAATTCTCCAGCAAGAGGGCTTATGGTGGGCTTTGACCCTTATGTTCCAGGGAGTAAACATTAAATCCCATACAAGAGAAGCCTGCCAGCACACCTGCACACACACACACCACACACCACACCTCCACAAGACAGCATGTGTCCTCAGAATCGGCTTGCTCCAGGCCCACACTGAAGTAAGAGTATCTCCATACTCTGCACAGGCCCTGGTCCGGGCTTTCCACTGTTATGAGGCCAACGGCAGGCTCCTGCTTTGTTTGACCTCTGACTTCCAGGTCATGCCCAAGGCTTCTCTACAGAAGAACACAGGTCCCCTTAATTACATCCATTACTTGAAAACTGCCCTTAAAAAATGAGATCTGGCCTTTTCTGTCTCTATCAGATTGGAAAGAATTGAAGGTTTAATAATACACAAAATGAGTAAGAATATGAGGAAACAAGTACACTTATACATTGACTTGGAGTAGAAATTCGGATCGTCTCTTCGGAAACCAATGTGGCAATTTCTCTCAGCTTTCCAAACGTCCCCATATATACGATGATGTGTATATATGTATATAGGTAGCAGTGTTATTAATAACATAAAACTGGAGGGGACTTCAAGTTCCACCAGTAGAACCCTGGTTAAATACACTACAGTATGTCCCTACAATGGAATGACTTGCAGCTATTTGAAAAAAACTGACAGCTGTCAATCTACACAGGCTAATGGGAAAGATCTCCAGGCTGGATGGTAAAATAGAAAGGCAACGCATAACTATTATGACCTCATTTACATAAAAAAGCTATTTATGCATATGACTATAGAATCATAGAGAATTTCTGGAAGAATGTTGTGTATCAGTCAGTGTCCAGACAGAGAACAGACTACCGTGGGTATTTCCAACAGAAGAACTGAACACACTTGTGGAACAGACGATGACGAAAGCTGAGATGCTAAATGGTGCAGGGTGAGATGCTGCAGAATTTAGCAAAAAAACAGGAAGTCTCTATCACCGTTGGTTGGAGGAAAACATAGAGGAGAGTGTTACCAAATCCCGGGTGCTGGAGCCATCCCAGAGAAGCTGCAACCACGATGGGCCCCCGAGAGGAAGACAGGACCAGAGAGGAGGTGCACTTGCCTTAGAAATGCCACCTGAAGCCAAAGGGGCACCACTCAGTGTCCTGCGGGTATAGTCCATCAGCCAAACCTTCCCAGAAACCTGAAGATAAACCAGAGGGTGGGCAGTGAGTTCCCCGCCACACAGAACAGACGAGAGATGGGATCTGAGGGCAACCAGGCAAATGTCTGGCAGAATAATAAAGTAACTCCCTCACTGGAGTTACCTCTTGGGAGTGAAATGTGGGTTTAGTGATAAAGGAAGACTCTTCTGTACTTGTTGAATACTTCTAAAAGTACACATACTATTTTTAACAAATTTTAATATAATAAGTTGTTTTAAAAGACTGTACATTTTTTTTACTTTATTATGTTATGTTAGTCACGATACAAGACTGTACATTTTTATATTGTATCACTTAAATTTATTATGCTTTCCTACAAGAACTCTCCCCTCTTAAGAGACCACGTGACCTAGAGTCCAGAGTCGCCAGATGCAACCATAGGAAACTGTTCAGCTGAGCAGAGATGAACTTGAGCATAACGAGGGACACAGAATCTGTACATTTTTTAAAATTAGGCAATAGGTGATTTTTCAATTCTGGGACCATGCAATGAGTCAGTCAGGCCCACCAACGGCAGTCATTGCCTTGGTCCAGTTTGGCAGCAAGGGACTTTCAAACAGTTTTTGTACATGCAAAATATCTTCCAAGAATTCTCGGTGGGTATGGCACTACGGAAAAATTGAAGCTTCCTTTCCTGGACGATTCTGAGGTTATTTAGGTTTGCTATAGCTGTTATGTTTGGGTTATGTGCCTTAAAAGAAAGTATCAGACCTGAAGAGGACCTCGGGATGCATCTTTTTTAGATCACAACTTGATTAAGACACAAATTACATAACATAAAATTCACCTTCTTAATATGTACAAGTCAGTGGTTTTCCGTATATTCATAGAGTTGTGCAACCATCACCACAATCTAATTCAAGAAAATTTTTACCAACCCCAAAAGAAACCCTGTACCTATTAGTCATTCCTTATTCTCCTCTCTTTCCAGCCCATGGCAACAGCTAATGCACCTTCTGTCTCTAAGAATCTGCATATTCTGGGTGGGTATTGAGGAGGGCACATTCTGCATGGAGCACTGGGTGTTGTGCACAAACAATGAATCATGGAACACTTCAAAAAAAAAAAAAATCAAGTTTTCATCTCAAAAAAAAAAAAAAAAGAATCTGCATATTCTGGACATTTCATATAAATGGGAACTAAACAATGACATACAATATAATATGCTTTTTGTGACTGGCTTTTATTTCACTTAGCATAATGGTTTCAAGGCTTATCCACATTGTAGCTTGAATCAGTACTTATTTTTTTTTACAGCTGAATAATATTGTATTATATGAATATAATACATTTTATTTCTATATTTATAGGAGTTCTTTCCATGTTTTTAGTCTTATGAATATCCCAGGTATGAATATTTGTGTACAAGTTTTTGTATGGATATGTTTCAATGTTCTTGGATGTATACTTAGAAGTAGAATTGCTGGGTCATATGGTAATTCTATGTTTAACTTTTTGAGGAACTGCAGACTATTTTTCAATGCAGCTACAACTTTCCATCAGCAATGTATGAGGATTGCAATATCTCCACATTCTCACCACTACTCCTTATAACAGTACTTTTAGTTTTCAGTGTATATACTTTTTTTCTAGTTTTATTGAGATATAATTGACATACAGCACTGTATAAGGTTAAGGTGTTCAGCACAATCATTTGACTTACATACATTGTGAAATGATCACCACATTAATATCCATCATCTCATAGTTATAAAAAAAATACATTTTTTATTTTATACTTCTTTTGTTAAATTTATTCCTATTTTATTCTTTATTCCATTGTAAATAGAGTTTTCTTCATTTTCTTAATATCATAATTGCTTTTCTTAATTTCATTTTGAATTATTCATTGCTAGTGTTTAGAAATATGGTTGATTTTTCTAAGCTGATACTGTACCCTGCAACCTTGATGACTTCTTAGTTTTCAGCTATAAATTTACAATCACAGCCATAAATTTCCCTCTAAGCACTGATTTTCCTGTGCTCCAGTAATTTTGAGATGGATGGACCCACTTATAAAGGGCAATAAGATAGCCTTGTTTTCTCAGTCACACTTTTCTGTTGTTAAAATCTATTTTGTTTATATTAGTAGGGCCCCTTCAGCTATCTTTTGGGTATTGTTTGCATGGTATCTTTTCTTATTCTCTTATTTTCAACCTATTTGATCTTACTATTCAAAGTGTGCCTCTTATACAGGAAGGCAGTTGGATTATAATTTTTATTCATTTCCACCAACCAGTGACTTTTGATTAGAGTGTTTAGTCCACTTACATTTAATATACTTACTGAAAAGGCAAGATATATTTCTGTCATTTCACTATTTGTTTCCTGTAAGTATGTGTCTTTGTTTGTCTTTTCCTCCATCAAACTCCTCCAGTTTCTATTGTTTCACAAAGATTTTCCTAGTATACCATTTCAATTCTCTTGTTTCTTTTATGATTTTTTTGAGTGATGTAATTAGTAAATTAACATCTTAACTTACAATCTTCTAGTTAGATAAGCACATAATCCATAGTATACTAAAGCTTTGCTGCAACACAGCTTTGATCCCACCTCCTTTGTGCTCTTATTGTCATACAAATTGCATCTTTATGCATTATAAGCCCATTGACACAATATTATAATTATTGCTTTATGCAGTTCTTTTTCAGATAGGAGAAAAAAAAGAATTACAACTACAAATATACTTATATTGTCTTTTATACTTATCTACACAGTTATCTTTTAGTAGTATTTTATCTTCTTGTTGATTCATAGTACCATCTATTATCCTTTTGTTTCAAGATGTACACTCTTGGGCGCCTGGGTGGCTCAGTCGTTAAGCGTCTGCCTTCGGCTCAGGTCATGATCCCAGGGTCCTGGGATCGAGTCCCACATCGGGCTCCCTGCTCCGCGGGAAGCCTGCTTCTCCCTCTCCCACTCCCCCTGCTTGTGTTCCTGCTCTCACTATGTCTCTCTGTCAAATAAATAAATAAAATCTTTAAAAAAAAAAAAAAAAAAAAAAAAAAGATGTACACTCTTTAGTGTTCCTTGTAAGGGAGATCTGCTAACAACAAATTCTTTCAGCTTTTGTTTATCTGGAAATGTCTTAATTTATCCTTCATTTTTGAATCATGGTTTTGCCGGACATTGAAATCTTGGTTAATAGTCTTTTTCTTTCAGCACTTTAAATATGTTACTTCACTGCTTTCTGGTGTCCATGGTTTCTACTTTTTTTTTAGGATTTTTTTTTTTTTTTTGAGAAAGAGAGAGAAGAGAAAGTGAGCATGAGTGGGGGGAAGGGGCAGAGGCAGAGGGAGAAGGAGACTCCCCACTGAGCAGGGAACCTGACACAGGGCTCAATCCCAGGACTCCGGGATCATGACCTGAGCCCAAGGCAGATGCTTAACTGACTGAGCCACCCAGGCACCCCTGATGTCCACGGTTTCTGATGAGAAAAGTCAGCTGATAATTACTGATAATCCCTGGTATATGATGAGTCACCTTTCTCTTATTGCTTTTAAGACTCTCTGTTTGGGGATTTCAAAGCTTGACAGTTTTTAATCACTATTTCTTCAAATATTCTTTCTTCTGCATTTTCTCTCTCCTTTCTTTTGGGGGTTTCCATTATGCATATAGTGATGTCACACAGACCTCTGAAGTTCTGCTTATTTTTCTTCATTCTTTTGTACTTTCTGTTCCTTAGATTGCATAATCTCCATCAAACTACCTTCAAGTTCTCTGCTTTATTCCTTTTCCTGTTCAACATGCTATGGAGCCCCTCTAGTGAATTTAACATTTTATTTATTGTACTTTTCAACTGCAGAATTACTATTTGGTTCCTTTTGATAATTTCTCTCTTTATTGATATTCACTATTTGGCAAGACATTGTTCTCATTTGTTCCTTTAGTTTTTTAGACACGGTTTCCTTTGGCTCTTTGAACATTTTTTAAATAGCTTATTTAAAATCTTTGTGAGTGTGGAATATTACTCAGCCATCAAAAAGAATGAAATCTTGCCATTTGCAATGACATGGATGGAACTAGAGAGTATTATGCTACGTGAAATAAACCAGTCAGAGAGACAAATGCCATATGATTTCATTCATATGTGGAATTTAAGAAATAAAACTGATGAACACAGGGGAAAGAAAGGAAAAATAAAAGAAGACAATAACAGAGAGACAGACAAACCATGAGACTCCTTACAATAGGGAACAAACAGAGGGTTGCTGGAGGGGAGGTGGGTGGGAGAATGGGGTCATTGGGTGGTGGGTGTTAAGGAGAGCACTTGATGTAAGGAGCACTGGGTGTTATATGCAACTGATGAATCACTAAATTCTACCCCTGAAACTAATAATACATTATATGTTAACTAACTTGAATTTAAATAAAATAAAATCTTTGTGTAGTAAGAATGTCTGGTTTTCCTAGGGGTAGTGTCTAGTGATGGCATTTTTTTTCTGTGTATGGACCATACTTTCTTATTTCTATGCATGTCTCTTAATTTTCATTAAAAACTAGGTATTTTAAATGATATGCTTATTTAATTTCACAAAAATCTGATTCTCCCTGCCCAAGGTTTGTTGTGTTGTTGTTTGTTTAGTGACTTTTCTGAATTAATACTGTAAAGTTTATATCCTTTATTGTATGTGGCCACTGAAGTCTCTGCTTGAGTAACTTAATGATCAGCTAAAGAATGGACAGAGATTTCCTTAAATGCCATGAACCAATAAGTGTCTTGGTCTTTGCTGAGAGGTTCTGTGCATGTATTGGGACACGCCTTCAGTGCTCTGGCAGGCAGTTTACAACTCTCCCTTAGCCTTCATGTCCTACTTGCACAACCTCAATGTCAGAGAGTTAAGGGCCTTTTCAGGCCTTGCCTAGGCATGCACACATCCATGCACATGCATGCGGCCTTCTAGACTCCAAGATATGCTGGAGTTTTTCAAAGCTCCACGTGGACATCTCATTCCCAACTTTTTCTTTTAAGTATTGTAGTCTGCCTTTTTTAGCCCTAACTGGTTATACCACCTTGGCCAGTGTTAAACAATTGCTGATTATTTTTGACAAATGCTCCAGGGATAGGACTATCGACATAGAGTGAGTCCTGAAGTCATATAAAGACAAGCCCTGGGAATGGAGATTTTTAGTGAGCTACCAGACAGGTCAAATAATGTCAAATTTCTAGGTAATGGGACTTTTAGAGAGCTCCAAACCCATATCACCCCCTCCAGTAGCCACTAGTTTGCTGGCTATTATAGCTACTGTAGTTGTCAGGGTGTCAGTTGTCAAAGTTATTGTAAATCTAAAAAAGAGAGAGAGAGGTGAGAGCAAGTTAAGACACCACAAAGCTCAATGTTCTTACCATGACCCAGCTGACTTTCTTGAACAGATGCTCCTTAAACTTTGCAATTCTGTAATTTCCAGAGTTCTGAACATTTTCATTTTGACAATTTTTGTCAGTGTTCTTGTTGCTTTTCTGGAAGGAGGAAGGGATTGTTAAAGGTTCTTACTTCACCATTTTCAAAGTGCTTCTCTATCTGACTCTTGTATTCAATTCTGCATTTTCAGTAGATTTCAAATATCTCTCTTTACACTCATCATTTCACATGTATTTAATAAATGGCATTTACCTAAAACATATGTTATTATGAAAAAGGCATTTCTCACTTATTAAGATGCTGTGGATCTTTCCATATCAATAAATTTACCATCACTTTTAATGGCTACATTCCACTTAAGGCATATTTCCTTCCTCATTTTTAAAAAGATTATATTTGATACATATTGCATATATTTAAGTTATGAAGCATAACCCCAAAATGCACACCCACAAACTCAACACTCAACTTAAAAAAAATAAAACATTTTAAAAAACATTAAGGCTGAATAAATTAGATATAGTATATATTCACAGATAGAAAAGCTCAATATTCTAAAAAATGCAAATTCAACTTAAATTAACCTACAGAATACTGTAATATCAATCAAAATCTCAACACAGTTTGTTGAGAAACTTCACAAATTGATTCTAAAATTAACATGAAATACCCAAGGCCCAAGAGTATTTGAGAAGAATACAGGAGACTTGTTCTCCTAGACATCAAGATTTATTACAAAGCCATCATAATGAATATATTTTATTGAATAAGACCCAAAAACGCACTAAGCATAAGATAAAGATTGATAGAATTGGTTATTTTAAAATCAAGAATGTATTACTCAGCCATCAAAAAGAATGAAATCTTGCCATTTGCAATGACGTGGATGGAACTAGAGGGTATTATGCTAAGTGAAATCAGTCAGTCAGAGAAAGACAAATACCATATGATTTCACTCATATGTGGAATTTAAGAAACAAAACAGATGAACATAGGGGGAGGGAAGGAAAAATAAAATAAAAACAGAGAGGGAGGCAAGCCATAAGAGACTCTTAACTATAGGAAACAAACTGAGGTTACTGGAGCGGAGGTGGGCAGGGGGATGGGGTAACTGGGTGATGGACATTAGGAGAGCATGTGATGTAAGGAGCACTGGGTGTTATATACAACTGATGAATCACTAAATTCTGCCCCTGAAACTAATAATATACTATATGTTAACTAAATTGAATTTAAATTTAAAAAAAAGAATGTCTAAAAGAACATCATAAAGAATGTGACAACAGGGATTTAGGTGACAGTAAAATAGGAAAAAGAGGTCCAGTTGTCAAGGGAATACTGACATTTCAAGCTATAATGCTTCCCACTTGATTTCTTTATTCTCCAAAAAGTTTCATAGCTGGTAAAAATCTATTCTTATTTTTTTGAGTTTGTTGACCACAGAATGGAAATACTGAGAACTATAAAATGGAAGCCTGTCTTCAAGGAAAAAAGAAGAGAATGAAAACTTCCTGAACACCTACTACGTGCCAGGCACTTTCTTTACATTCTTACTTAATCGTTTTGTTTTGTTTTGATTTAGTCCTCATAATTCTTTGAGCTTAGGCATTACCCCTTCCTTCATAAAGTTAATGATTTCTCCAAGGTTAAGTATTTTTTGGAAATAGCACTAAAAATAATGTTTAGTTTTATTCCAAAGTGCAGGTTCTTTCCACCTTATCATGTTGCTTTGTTATAAATTCCTTAACATTCATTATTCTTGGGAAGACAAAAAAAATCAAATCCATATGAAATCTTTTTTTTTAAACTGGATGATATATTGATAGGATTTCACTTCTATGGATCACTTTGGGGAGAATTTACATCATTACAATATTGACTTATTTTCCACGAAAATGGTAAATCTTTCCACTTATTTAGCCATACATGGACTTCCAAGGAAGTTTATAATTTTTATAACTTTCTCTATACATCTCTAGCATGTATTTTTAGTTCTGTTTTCTGTTTATTTCTTGTATATAGAAATCCAATTTATTTTTTATAGTGGTCTTTTATCCAGTCACTGCGGCAGATGCTTGGGGGCCCTGCACCACATTTTGTCATCCTGTTTCCAATTTTAGCCCAACAGTGGTGGGAAATTTGATGTATGTAATACCAGGATCCTACCTCAGACATATACTTTGGTGACTTTCTACCAACATCCCATGTTTGGAGGGATAATTCTAAGTCACTGTCTACACAGACCTTCAGAGAGTCATCAGTGGGATTAAACTGCAGTTGCCCACAGCAATAGCTAACTCAGTAACACACCATGTATTGGCTTTTCTTACTCCCTGTCCCATTCTTCCAGCCACTTCACTGCTACTTCCCTGAGGTCGCCACCCAAAAAAAGCCATGCATCCCAGCCCCTTTCTCAGACTCCACTTTGAGATAAACACCTGTATTGTTTTTAATAATCTCACTGTAGATTCTTTTGCATTTTCTACGTATTCAGTCATAGCACCTTTGTCATTGACAGATTTGTTAGTTCCAATTCTTAGGCATTTTGTACAATATATTCTCTCACACTACCTAGGCCTTCCAGAAAAGGTGACATCTTATTCCTAGTTTCTAAATAAATGCTTCAAACAATGTTCCATGAAGAAGGATATTTGCATTCAATTTTTGTTAGATATCTTTAAGAAAGTTTCTTCATAGTCATATTTCACTGAGTGTTTCTCATGGAAGGATGATGATTTTTAAAAAATAAGTCTGCATTCTTTCAGGTGGTTATATATTATCTTCCTACTTTCATCTGTTAATGAGAGAAAGGACATCTGTAGGTTTTCTGATATTAAACCACTCTCGGATTTCTGTATTAGACCAAACTTGTTTATTATAGGGATGCCTGGATGGATCAGTCGGTTAAGCGTCTGCCTTTGGCTCAGGTCAAGATCTCAGGGTCCCCCTGCTTGTGCTCTCTCTCTCTCTCTGACAAATAAATAAATAAAATCTTTTTTAAAACTTGTTTATGTTATTTTATATAGTGTTAGATTTGGTTTGCTAATAATTCTTTTTTACAATTTATACATTTATATTCACAAGGGAGATTTGTAGATCTTGCTCATGCTGTCCTCACTTGGTTTTGCAATCAAGGTTCTATTTAGCTCCATAAAATGATTTGGGAAATATTCACTCTTTTCCTGGGTTCTGAAAGAGTTTGTGTAAGCTTAAAATGATCTTTTAGGCACCTGGGTGACTCAGTCGGTTAAGCACCTGACTTTGGCTCGAGTCATGATCTCAGGGTCCTGGGATTGAGCCCCAGGTAAGACTCCACGCTCAGTGGGGAGTCTGCTTACCCCCCTCCTTCTGCTCCTCCACCTGCTTGTTGCTCTGTCTCTCAAATAAATAAAATCTTTAAAAATAAAATGATCTTTTAAGTTTCCCAGAAACCATATTTTCCTTGTGTTTTCTTAATATTTTCCTTGTATTCTTCTAGCAATTTATTTAATGATTGCTATGGACTAATTATGTTCCCTCCAAATGTATATGTTGAAGGCCTAACAACCAGTATGCCTGTATTTGGAGTAAGATAGTAATTAAGGTTAAATCATGTCATAAGGGTGGAGTTCTGATCCTAAAGGATTAGTGTACTTATAAGAGCTGTTAAACAGCTACTTTTTTTCCTGCCATGTGAAAGTACAGTGGGAAGGCAGCTGTCTATTAGCCAGGAAGAATTCTCACCAGGAATAAAATTGTCTAGCACTTTGACTGTGGACTTCCCAACCTCTAGAACTTTAATAAATTTCTGTTGTTTAAGCAACCCAGACTATGGTATTTTTTTATAGAAGCCTCAGCAGACTAATATAATGGTTATAAAAGTATTGAGGCTTTCTATTTCTTTTTAGGTTTTATTTTTTTAGGATTTTATCCAAATGTATTGGTATATGTAACATTTTCTTTCATAAGTGATCAGATTGAAGCCTAGAGAAGCTAAGTGACCTACTTAAAGGCACAAAGTCAGTTAGTGGCTTGTTTGAAAAATTAGGTTTTTAAAAAATTGTATTGTCGGTTAATAATCCTTGAAAATATACCAGTGCAAAACCAGGCTTAATTAACAATTCTGATGCTCCAAACTCCATGGACTAGAAATTCTAACTTTTAATAAATATTATTTGAGATTGCATATTCAACTAGTATAACCTTTGGAGAAAAGTTTAATAATCATACTGTGCATTAGCCAGCTCATTTCTTTCAAATATTTTCAATGCCTAAACCCCAAAGAAGAGATAGCTATTACATGGGCATTAGCCAATTATCTCTCCATAACATATTTCAGAGCTATGGGTGGACCTGTCAAAAATCGTACTTTAGATGAGAGTGAGGCAATTGAATGACATAACAATTTCCATGAGTAGCTTGTAACATGGCTGGGTATCATGGCCATAACTAAACAAACAAAGCTGGGAAAATAGCCAAATCCATATGGTAATGATTTGTTGGCTAATAAAAGATGAAGTCCAGACACGGGAATCAAGCATTCACTTTGATTACAGAACAGGCATTAGAAGCCTGAGGGAAGAGATCATCCAGGAGAACATGGTAGGAGTGTAGTTTCAGAAGTGTGGAGAGAAACTAGATGAAAACAAACAAACAAAAACCAAACAGCTTCCTTGACAAATCCTTCTAGAAATGTTGTGCCTGCAAAGTTAGACACAGAAGACTGAAATTCCCAGTCAGTTAGATGGAGATAGAGCCTCATTCCAACTGCAAACCCCTAGTTAGGTATCTGCATTCTGAGGGCCACAGAGAAAATTCAAGAGTCTGTAAAACCTGAGAAAAAGTAAGATTGATAAACATGACAGCCACTACGGATGGATTATCAAGTCTTGGCATGATGCTTTATGTGCATCATTGCATTAAATTCTCTCAACCACTATATGAAAGAACTGAATCTGTAAGAGCCAACATCTCCCAGTTTACAAAACCTCATACACACGTCAACTCCATTGGACAGAAAACAGACTTGGATTTTCCCAGCTCCACAGAGTGAAGGTTCTTGATACATTGACATGCTACCTCCTTACTCCATCAGAAATATGGCAGGAACATCTGTTCATAAATGACCACTCATCCTGACTTCTGGAATGGAACCAAGGTAGGGCAAAGACAAACGACTGGCATCTCCAAATTTGACAAAAAGCAGTGTGTTTCATTATCTATCATGTATGATAAACCACTGCAAGATTTAGGGGCTTTAAAACAATGATGATTCACTGTTTCTCACAATTTTGCAGTCTAGGTAGGCTTTAGCTGGCATTTCTTCTGTTGGGGCTGGATTATCCGAGATAACTTCTTTTGCCTGTATGGTACCTTACCTAGGATGGATGGAACCACTGGAACTGTTCCAATTGTCCGAACATCTCTCTCTCTCTCCCTCCCTTTCTCTCTCTCTCTCCACATGGTCTCTCCAATAGTGCAGCCAGACATCTTCACTTAGTGCCTCACGAATCTAAGACTGAACAGTCCAAGAGTATATATCCCAGTATGTAAATGATTCTCAAGACTCTGCTGGTGTCATGTTTGCTCATGTCCTATTGGCCAAAGCCCAGAATTAATATCAGAGGAAACTACATAAAATGTGAATATCAAAAGTTATGGTATACATGCTGTAAAAGTTATAAATGGTATTTCTTCTATCTCAGGTAAAGCTATAATAGGCAGAAAAGGACGGAGAGGAACCTGAAGTCAGTGCACCTACTAAAAGTAGTCTGTAAGGGGAGCAGGAGAACCTCAACTACACTGCAAATTTCTAGAGTCCTCTTCCAGCTTGGTCAGATATTGTAGCAAGAATTATTCCAGGATATCAGCCAACCTCACATGAGTCTAACATGAGGAAAATGGGTTTTTATAATAAACATACTATAGACATAGCATGGCAATATGGAATCCAGAAGCAAATAATGTTCAGGAATCAAAAAGGCAGAAAATTGATCTCAAAGGAGTAGATCCAACCATGGAATTCTACTTCCTGACAAATTTCAAGTCAAGAGGAATTAAGAATACTAGAGCTGTGATCATGGCATAGCCTATGGAAATGGGGATAAAACAGTGTTAAAACACTCAGACCCCAAGTACTTGACAACAACTTGGTTTCAGGAACTAGACAGAAGCCTAATTTCTGAAAATGTGAAGCACCATCAGAGCTGTACTAGTCAAAATATGGCTTGATTCTGAGTCCCTGAACATTAATTTGGAGATGCTTCAATTTCCCCAAATCACAGATATGGCTGCCCAGCCTCCGTGGAGTAGACAATGTCCTTTCATATTAATGCGTCCTTTCCTTTAAAAAACCACCACTAACCCCTTACACATGGTTTTGATGGGATTGTGCCTGGCTCTTCTGTACACAGTGACAGCGATGGGCATGCAACCTTGTCAATGATAACTAATTATTCTCTCAGTGGGAGACATTTATCCTAAAGTGTGAGCCCCTGTTCTAAGCAGGGCTAATCAGAGTCCTTCTCCAGGCCTGATTTTTAGACATGGGAAACAGAACTTGCTGTTGGGATTGCTGGAATAGGAGAAGGTAAATCTGAGTGTGAGTGGTTTTTTCTGCCACATGGAGAGTCTTTCAAGAGGACAAAATTGGGGCGCCTGGGGGGCTCAGTTGTTAAGCGTCTGCCTTCGGCTCAGGTCATGATCTCAGGGTCCTGGGATCGAGCCCCATATCGGGCTCTCTGCTCTGTGGGAAGCCTGCTTCTCCCTCTCCCACTCCCCCTGCTTGTGTTCCCTCTCTCGCTGTGTCTCTCTCTGTCAAATAAATAAAATCTTTTTAAAAAAAATAGGACAAAATTAAGCAGGCACAAGCACACACAAAAAAAGAGAGCGTGACTGAGCAAGTCTTGGTGGCTTTCCCTGAGGCTAGATTTCCTACATCTCTTCCTTTAAGCCTGTGAATTATGCCATTAACTCTTCTACCACGTGAGTGACTGTATTCATCTGCTTGGCCTGCTATAACAAAATGTCATAGACTGAGAGCCTTGAAAACAACAGAAATTTATTTTCCACAGTTCCAGAGGCTGGGAAGTCTAAGATCAAGGTGCTGGCCAATCTGGTTTCTCGTAAGATTGCTCTTCCTTCCTAGCGTGCAGCAGAGAGCTGCCTGCTTGCTGTATCTTCATGTGGTCTTTCCTCTGTGCATGCAAAGAGAGAGGGTGAGCTCTGGTCTTTCTCCCTCTTCTTAAAAGGACACTCATCCTATCAGATCAGAGCCCTACCCTATGACTCAACTACTTTTACAAATGCTCTATCTCCATATACAGTCCCATTGAGGTTTATGAGACTGGAGCTTCAACATATAAATTTGGGGGTGGGGCACACATTCAGTCCATAGCAGTAACCAATCCACCATTTTGCCTACAACGAATGTGTTTCTGCCACTTACAACCAAAGAACCCTGAGTTTGCAGACAGAAGAGCTATTACAGGGGTAGAAAAGTTGTCAGACCTTCATTGATCCCATTTCTGACTTATCAAATAGTTGCAATGGGTATGTATTGCTGCATCTCCATTCCTACTACCATTCTGTAATGATGACACCAGGTGATGTACTTTTTCACTAACCCGAAGGCATTTTTTCAGCACTTACTATGTTTCAAGTGCTAGGAAATAAAAAGTCAAAACAGACAACTTCCTCCTCTAGAGAACTCCCTTCCTCTCCTTTATATCTTTCCAGGCACAATCACATACACTCTTGGAGGCATTTCAATTTTCAAATCCAGTTCTTTTCATTATTAAAAACTTGGCAAAACTAAATAGTAGTATAGACTGTCAAGGGAAAAAACTGATTACTCAAATAGCAACTAAAATAAGTAGCCATAAATCACACCTGACAAATCCAAGCTCTGCCTGGGTAGGAAGTTTTCTTCTTTGCTCTTCTGCATGGGCAGAACATCTGAAATAAAGAGCACCCTTTACAAACTCAGAACCACGTACTCACTGATCCTTGCCTTGATAAAAGACAAACACCCTACTGGTGGTGACTGTGCCCTTTTCCTGTGGTATATCAATGGTCAATGACACTAGCCAATTTTTCACCTGGAAATCCCAAGTTTTGTCACAGGATTGCATTATGTCTATTACTCAACCATATGGCACTGAACCAAGAGGATGAGATTTAAGGGATTTTTTTCCCTTTTAAAATATTGGATCTAAAAAGAAAGTTTTATTGTTCCAAGCTGCCTTCTTTTATAACAAAAGCTCCTTTATACTGAAATACAAAACAAAATAGAAATCTCCTTTTTAAAGCTTTTGGGACACAGAAAAGGGAAACCAACTGCATACGATAAAGCCAAAGAAAATTTTACCCGATGAGTAGAGCAAAGATGGTTCCTGCCAGTTCCGGCAAAATATTTTTTATTCTAGGTTTTTCCTACATATAGATTAGGAAGAAAAAATTAAAACTGTCTGTTCAGAAGTAAGATAATTGTCTACATAGTAGTCTCCCCTTGCTTACCTACCAATTATCAGTAAATGTAGATATGTGACATGCATTTGTCAAACCCACAGAACTTTAGAGCATAAAGAGCTTGAAACTTAAGGCATGAAAAATTTTTTAAAAATAATTTAGGAGGTCAGAGGATCCTAGAAAGAATGCAGACTGTGACAAGAGCATCTAACTGTGTAATCAATAGATAAATCAACCTCACGGAATGGGGGAATGATGCTGACCTAAGTAACTTTGGAATTGAGTGGGTTCTAAAAGGCTAAAGTCAAAAATAACAGGGTTCCTTGGAAAATGGTTGATTCTAGGACTAAACTAGAACAGAAAATATACAAGATGAGACTGAAGCAACTTACAGAGCCAAATGTAATGAAATTAACAAAACACCATTTATGATAGTAAGTGTCTCAAAGGGACACAACTGAAAGAGCTCCCAATGGCCAAATCTGGAACAATGTGAGCAACAAAATGTCATATTAGATTATAACACGAAATATAAAATAAATATCTATGCATCTATATTGATATAAAGAGTAGATAAATTAATAAATTAGGGGAAAGAGACAAATCCCTCATGCAGAAGAATTCCAAAAGATTTATGAAGATACTTTGCTTTTAGGAAAATGGAGCATAAATCCCCACTCCTTAAGTGTAGGCTGTGTATAGCCATTACTTCAGGCAAGTGATGGTCAAGGTCAACATCAGCAGCAGTAAGTTAAAATGATGGTATGTATCCTTGATGTGAAGTGACAAAAATGGCACTTTATCTCTATGATCTTCTTCCCCAAAATCTGTAATTCCATTCTGATCATGAGAAAAACATCAGACAATTCCAATAGAGACCTGACCAATAAATACCTGACCAGTACTCCTCAAAACTTTCAAGGTCATGAAAAACAAGAAAATTTGTTAATTTCCCTATGAAAACATCTGGCCTGAAATTTTTGTGTCTGTGGAAACTTAACACTAGATCATTTGCTTATAGGGTAAATAGCCTATTTCACTTTCTATCTCTAGTAGAGTTAATTTTGTAAGGCTGCATATTTTTAGAAGATTATCAATTTCTCTGTTTTCAGATTATTTTCATAAGATACTCTTGCTGATTTTATAATTTCACCTATTAATTGTCTTTTGCTGTTATTTCTAATTTTGTGCTATTTCTAAATTTTTAGCATTTTGCTTTATCTTTTCTTTTGCTAATTTTTAAAAATCCTTTATTTCAGGGCGCCTGGGTGGCTCGGTCGTTAAGCGTCTGCCTTCGGCTCAGGTCATGATCCCAGGGTCCTGGGATCGAGCCCCGCATTGGGCTCCCTGCTCGGCGGGAAGCCTGCTTCTCCCTCTCCCGCTCCCCCTGCTTGTGTTCCTGCTCTCGCTATGTCTCTCTGTCAAAAAAAATAAAGTCTTTAAAAAAAAAATCCTTTATTTCAGAAAAGTTTTCCTGGATTATTACAATCACATTCACACATACACGTTTGTTTTTTTCCTGCTTCATTCCTTTGACTGATTTTTCAGGGTTTTGATCCTAGCTCTGGATCATCTTTCCCTGTCTTCTCTATCTGTTGCTTTCTCTCAAACACATTTAATCTTTCTTCATTCCTAATTTACTTAAAAATTTTCCTTTTCTTTTCACTTTATATTGCTCTTTAGGCATTATGCATTGTGCATATTTACCTTTGGTTCCTTTTAGTCTTCATTTTTGAATTTTTAGTTTTCAGTTTTTGTTGTTTTCTTTTGTATTCTTGTATCCTTTTGTAGTTTGTATTCAATTCTTTCATAGTTTCAATTTTTTTTAAGTAGGCTCCATGTTGCATGGAACCCAACGTGGAGCTTGAACTCATGACCCTGAGATCAAGACCTGAGCTGAAATCAAGAGCCTGATGCTTAACCATCCATGCCACCCAGGTGCCCCAGTTTCCATTGATTTCTTAATTCCTTTAAGCTTACTTTGAAACATTAGGTGAAGAATCTCCCTTTATTTTTATGAGCATTGTCTCTAGGAATTTTACTCTGTTCCTCACTTTTGCCTGGTAATAACTTTATGGATTTAAATAGTAATGAAGACACTATTCTTCTGGTCTCACATTTTAGGGTGATAAATTTTCTACACTCTTAATATGAGAGAGTGAGCCAGAATAAATTTCCTAGATTCTTGGTTCCAGATCTCTCCTTTGTGTTGTCCCAAAAGTGTAGGAAAATGCATATGCAGTTGTATTTTCAAAGATCTGCTGGCTCTCTTCTCCTGTTTCAATCTTATCTAAACTGCCTTTTGCTTTTGTTCCAATAGTTCTGCTCAATTTGGATTCTACTTTCTGCAGGTTTCTCTCAGCAAGGGATCTTAGGGTAAAGAGTGCTTTCGTTAGTCTCCAGTGTTTATAGTAGGAATATGTACGCTTTTTTTTTTATAGAAGACTAGGTAGTAAATATTTTAGGCTTTCTGGGCCACATGTGGTCTGTGACATGCTATTCTTTATGTACATGTAATTTTTTTTTTTTTTGCAATCCTTTAAATGTAATAAATAAAAACGCTTCATCTGCATTCAAAATTAGTTTGTAAGACAGATTTTTCCTTTAGCCCACAGTTTACCAAATGCTGGTTTGTGGAATCTGACTGAGCATGTACTGATCTTACTACTCCCTTCTTGAACATACTCACGAATGTGGCCTGTAAAGCCCCATCAACTTTCACATGCTGTTCTCAGACCAGCCTTCTGCTCTTTCCACAAAGCACTTGTTAACCTGTAGGTAGAGCTATCTCCCTGTCATTTAAATTTGCATTTCCCAGATAATTAATGCTGTTGAGCATCTCTTCCTTGGCTCATTTTCCATTCAAATATTTTGCCATTTTTGAAAAAAAATCATGTCGTCTTCTTATTGCCAAATGATTAAATTATAAGTATTCTTTCTGTATTCTGGCCTTCTATCATTTTTTAATTTTTTAAATTAGCTCTTCCTAAATCTCAAATTATGAAAGTATGAGGTGAAAACCGTACTGATTGCCCAGCACCATTTCTTGAATAATTTCTCCTTTCTCCACTGATTTATGAGGCTCATTTTATCCTAAGTTCTACTCCTCTATTTAATATAAAAAACAGAATCTTAGCTAGTAATCAGTCTATTTTCATTCCGATGTACCCTATCAATACTTTTTAGTTATTATTTTAGATATTCTTATTTGTTTATTCTTCAAAATGAACTTTAGAAAATTTAGACAGCTAAAAAAAATCCTATTGCATTAAACCCTTAGATTCCTTTGGATTTTTTTTGTGTCACTCAATACAATTTTACATTTTTCTTCATTTACACCACACATATTTTCTTATATTATTCCATTTTTGTTGCATCATTTTCACATATTGTCAAATTTTTTCTGGTATAAAAAAATTAAAGGATTCCTTAATATTTATTTTATATATCACTACCTTAATAAACCTTTTCAGTTCAATAATTTCTTGGTTTCTTTTGGTGGATTTCCAAATAAGATATATAAATATTGACTGGAAATTATAATAATTCTGGCTTCTCTTTTCATATGTGTATATGTACAGTCTGTTTCAGGTCATCCTAAATCAACTAGAAATTCAAAAACATTTTAGCATATATTGAAACAATTAACATTCTTAGTTTCTCACTTACATAGAAATGCCTGTAATATTTCATTACTAAACATACTATTGGTTTTGTTTTAAGTTAGATATTATCTTACCATAGAAATATATATGCCCAATTTAGAAGAGTTTATTTTTAAAATCAGAAATGGTTATTAAATTGAATGAAACTTTTTGATATGGAAAGCAACAGTCATCTTGCTTTAAAAACTTCAGAGATATAATCCTTTGGAAACACTTTCAATTTATACCATGGTTATTCAACTATACCACTTCTGAGTCAATCTTAGTGTTTCATATTTTACCAGAAAATGACCAATTCCTTCAATATTATGAAAAGTATCACTATAAAGTAATATAATTCTAATATTTTATCTTTCTTAGAATTTATCCCTAATTTTATTTTTGAATTTCATTTTACATGTTTGTAAAAGGGTCTTTTGATCTCCTGATGAGATTTGCCAAGAAAAAAATGATAGAGAGCTCATTCTCATTATTCATGGATTCTAAATTTGCAAATGCACCTACTCACTAAAATTTATTTATAACCCCCAAAACAATACACACAGTGTCCTCATTGTCATTTGCAGACATGTGCAGAACAGCAAAAAAATTGATTTGAAGGTGCCAAGAGGCACATTCCCAGCTGAGGTCAAACAAAGAGAGGCTGTGTCCTCCTGTTTCAGTTTTCAAACTGAAAAAGTGTCCTTTTTATGGTCTATTTAGTGTCTTTTTTGTGTGCATTTTTGCACTTGTCAGTAATTTTGCTGTTAAAAATGGCCCCCATCCATAGTGATGAAATTCTGTCAAGTGTTCCAAAGCACTGCCAAGCTATGATATGCCTTATGAAGAAAATACCTTTGTTAAATAAGCTTCATTCAGGCATGAGTTATAATGCTGTTGGGTCTAGTTAAATGTTAATGAAATATACATATTTACATTTATATATTTTATATTAAATATACAATAACCATATATACATATTTTAAGGAGAAGT